ATAAATAACATAATATAAAAAATGAAGCAAAAACCAATAGATAAAAATGATAGAAAAGAAGAATTTATTTATATAATGTAAAGAAAAATAAAAGTTTATGCAAATTATAATCTTTAAATAATTTTATAATCTTATGAATACTAGATAGTATATGAATAATATCTCAGTATATTAATCGGATAATGTCATCTAACATAAAAGAAATGTAAAATAAAATATGATTGGAAATATGAAATGAAACAATATCAATCTAAAAACAAAAAATAATATTATTTTGATGATGCATCAAGATGCATTAAGAATGATGCATATTTATATTCTCATATGATTATATTTTATTTCGATTATATATTATATTCTGTATACTTCTACATATTTTAGGCGATCTTTAAAAATTCTATTCTATATTTTGTAATTGAAATTGTATTCAAAAATAGAATAGATAACAAATCAAATAAAAAACAATATTAGAAGAATTATTATAAAAACAATTATGAGAAAATGATGAAAATATAAGAAGAAAGTGATATGAATTAAACAATAATCTATAATATTTAAAGATATATTGTTTATATTTCAAAAAAATATGTTAAATAATTATAATTAATTTGAGATGTAAAAAACTGTTAAATTGTTTTAAATTTTTTATAGATGTATATGACAAATAAAATTAAAAAATTATAATTTCAACTATTTATTAAATTCATTAGTCAAAAAAAATTTGCATATAAAATATCGTGTTTCATGACTTTTTATATTCAATGAAAAATATTATTATAAGTAAATAAACGATAAATAAATATTATCATCATTATAATATCTTTTTTTTTATAATTTGTTATTTTACAAATATTGGATTGAAATCGAATTAAAGTTTAATTTAAAATTTTCCTCTTTTTTTCTAAACTGAAATTTTGGTTAATTTTTTATAGTTTATTAGATATTACATATAATGTAAATAAACAAATTTTGTGCTACTTGATGCGAGTTGATGCAGATTCAATAAATATTGGATCTATTTATTACTGTTTTATGTTATCTTATATTTCAAATTTGAATAATTTGCCTAACGACGAAATAGATACTTACTTTTATTTAATTCAATAATTATTATTTATTGTGTAAATATATTATCTTCAGTTAGTGTTTAATTTTAAGTCAAAGCAATAATTTTATAAACAATTTTTTTTAATCTCTTTAAAGTAAAAATAGATATATTTTCTTTTACAGTAGAGTCTAATCGGTATAGAATGATTGGCTAATACAAATTTCAATTCTTTGATAAATAAGAAATTTAATTTTGACGCTTTTCTGCTTTTATTATCAAATCGAATTATATAAAAAATAAATTATAATTGTAATGTATACACTATTTTTTGTAATTAATATTATAATTCTTATAATATCTAATATAATAAATCTTATAATTTATAATAAATAATATTTTTTTCTATTATATTAACATATGTTTTAATCAACATATGTAAGTAAAACAGATTCAATATAGATTTTACATGTGAATCAAATATGATACACGAATATGATAGAATAAAATGCCAAACATCACATATGATATGCTAGAAACAAACATCGCATATGTGGAACACTGAAAAATGCTAATAATACTTTTAATATTATTAAGCCAAAAGAAATTCCGATAATAATCTATTAATATTTGTGATCTTTTAAAATTTTCTAATTCTCTTCAGTTAAATGATTCGTATTAATTAGAATACTATAATTTGATTGTATAATTTAAAGTTCGTATTTATTTTCTGTTTCAGTCAGTGCTACTAATTCCGAAAGGGATGCTGGTTTCTGTAGCGGTGGCGATGAGGACGATATATCCGACCTACACTCGCCAAGCTCCTCGGAAGATAGTCTAGAGGTGCAAATAACGCCGATATCATTAAAAAACAAGAGAAAATTGGCCGAGCCTCGAAAAATTCACGAGCCGAACTTAGCACCACTGAAGAAACGAAGATTCCAACGAATCGAGGAAGACACCATAACGAGCGAGGAATCGACTAGAACTTTAAGATCACCGAGCCCGTTTCGACCATGGAGTTGCACCAACAAGAGCATCGATTCAAAACTTTCTTTATCTATTTCAGCTGCGGAAATGTCAAATCAATCATGCGTTTTCAACTTATTATCGAACGCATCGTCATCGTCTCCCATTGTTTCAAATCGAATCAACCATCACCATCATCATCGTCACCGTCTCCATCATCATCATCATCATCATCATCATCAACATCATTGTCACAACAATGACGATAAGAAGAATAACATTCGAAAAGACAATCTGGATCAGGGGCACGTTTCAGAGGATAGCGTCGCATGTGAGATAAATATAAAAGGAAATAATGATTTTCAAAAACAACAGGAGTTGAAATGCCAAGAGAATTTATCTGCCAGATTACGACAGTCGACGCAAACGCGTGCCATACGTGCTGAGAAGCGCGAGTTCCTCCGTCAAAAATCCGATAACACGACGATCTCGTCTGCAAGTTCCACGGCTATATCGGAAACAATATTGTCATCGTCTACAATATTATCTCCGATTACGCATCTCAGATTACAAGAAGAACCTTTGTCACTTGTATTGAGAGGCGATGTGGCTGCCAGGGTTCCGCCGCATCCAGCGGTGAACGGTACTTACGAGAAATCCTGCTCATATTCTATAAAATGTACAAATGTTTCGCCTTCATCCTCATCGTCTTCTCTCTCTTTTTCGTCCTCATCGGCAGCATCTACAACATCATCCTCATCCTCCACTTCCTCATCATCCTCCTCTTCCTCTCTTTTGTCTTCCCATCCTCAGCAAGATCATCGGTTGTCGAGTAATGATAATTCTTCGACAACGGTAATCACATCCACGACGATAACAACAACAGCAACCACACTGACAACGACGATGACGAACGTTCATAACGGTCAAACAAGGCAACACACGGTGCCGAGTCAACAGAGGAACTACAAAAATATGACGCGGGAAAGGAGAATAGAAGCAAATGCTAGAGAACGGACGAGAGTGCATACTATAAGCGCTGCATTCGATACGCTGAGACGCGCTATTCCCGCTTATTCACACAATCAGAAGTTATCGAAGTTATCCGTATTAAGGATCGCGTGTAGTTACATCATGACCCTTGGTAAAATTGTCGATATCCCCGAAGGCGAGACAGCCAACAGTTCTTCGTTAGGAGCTTGCGTGGACCTCGTCTCTAGGACCATTCAAACAGAGGGAAAAATTAGAAAGAGAAAAGAAGACTGAATCGTATAAGTACATAATTTGGGCTTAATTCTAACAATACTATAGTCTGATGCGATACAATGTATATATAAACATTTAATTAATTATCATTTAATCTGTAAATCATTGAAAATTAAATTGATAAATAGTCTAACTAAATGTTGTTCAACAAATGTTAAATATTTTTCCGATCATCTCTTTAAAATTTTGATGCTGAATAAAAGAATATCTACATATGTATGATGTCTTTGATGAAAAATATAAAAAATAAAAGGGAGTTGACAAGATACGATGTATCCAACTCACAAATTGAATCAACTAATTATTTATATTATTACTAATAATTAATTTTCGGTTTCAGATAAAAAAGTTTTCATTTTACTCATTCGAATTGTAAATTAGAAAATATATTATTATGTAATATAAACGTCTCTTAGAAAAAAATATCGCGATATTGAATCATCAATTGAGCAAGATATATTAAAAAGATGCATAAGAACTGATTCCGCAATATTGAAAATGTAATTTTCCACATTTCTTCGACAAAACATGACAAAGCATATGTACGCATAATATGATTGTCGATCAAAGATATCAGTTATTATGCGATTAAATGTACAATTCGAACGTGTAATATTTTATATCGTTAAGTTATTTTGAGTCTATTTATACTCATATTTACCTTTATCAAAATTCGAATAACGGAAATAAAATTTTTGATAAATTTTATTGATGAAGGCAATATTTCATATCCTCTTTGTGTTCTTGAGAATTACAATAAAAATTTGGCGATTCATTAATAGAAATACAACAATACTGCTGCATTCTCGATTAAATTGATCAACGAAATTCATTCAAACTTTTTAATTTTTTTATCTTTTTGCCTTACGTTCTCACAAAAGAGAAATTTAATTTTAATATATGTATGAAAAAATTCTATTCATTATCATTAATATTTCATGATTGTTTCTAATGAAAATAAAAATTTGATTAGATATTTGAATAAATCGAATAAATAAAATTCGAATAATTCAATTATAAATTCGAATAGAAAGAAAGGAATTAAAAATATACGTCAACGTTCGATTATCGTATACATATTTCCAACAGAAGAAGGAATCACGCGTGCACCTGCTAAGAAACAGAAGCAGGTGCATCTTAGTATCGCTTCATTTTTGGAGATTACTCGAGGCAAATAATAATCACCTGCTTCTTGTGTCATATATAGTATAAGAAAAAATTCATGAACAACAAAATCGGTAATAAGAAAAAATTTTGTTTTAATTCTGATATTTTTTCTTTTTTCGGATAAAAAAAATTTTAGGTGATCAGAAAATCATATATTGATAATGATTAATTATCAGATTAATTAATAGATTAATTTTATTAATTTCATTAATATTATTTTTTTCTATTCATAATTTTTAGTAATGAATAAAAATTGTCTTTCATAGTAATATTTAAGATAATTTGATTAAAAATTTGAAAATGAGAACAAAATTTTTAAGATACTACAAATAGTTTAAAAATTATTTTTATTGATTTTATAAATATTTATTTAATAATTTATTGAATAATATAATTTCATTTTTTATATATTACCATTTTATAATTATCATTTTATATCAATAATAATTTAATAAAACAATTATAAAAAACTTTATTTTTTATTCAATAATATAATTTTTTCTGGCAAATAATATTTCTTTTTGTGTAAAAATAATTTTAAATGATGAAATTCAGATTGCAATTAGAATAGATTAAAAAAGTATGTAAAGTCATTTTGCAAATATTCTTATTTGGTACATTTATATTATTTTATATATTTATTTTACAAAAAATTTAAAATATAAGAATAAGCAAAAAATATTATGATATAATCATATATTGACAATATGATAGAAATAATGATTAAAAAATATATTTAAAAGCATATTTGAAGAAGAAATAAGAAATTAAAATATCAATATCTTAAAAATTAATTTGACATTCTTATATTTTGGATGATTAGATACAAATTATTTCCATTGCGTATTAAAAAAAACGTCGTACACTTTTAATCTTTCTGTTTCATTTCAATATAATATAAATAATATAATTAATAAATATAATATAATAATCAGTTGCATATTGATCGTGAATACCTATGAGATCGAAGACCGAAAGTAGTAATAAAATTTGGACAGAAAATGAGAAAGAGGAAGAAAAGGAGGAAAAGAGCGACAGACATGAACTAAGATTAACGAGGCGAAATACTGTCTGGTGGGAGGTTGCCAGAACGTTGGCGCCAGCTGACCACCGTGCGTCTCGTCGGACGACCTATATGAACGTGTGTGCGTACGCACTGTCACGAATCTCTATCCAACTTCTCTCAACACTAAACCAACCTTTTCAAAGATTACACGCACGCACGTGTTCGCTAGCCAGTTTATTCTCTTCTTTTCCCCTTTCAACTCTACTACCTTCTTTCTTCCTTCCTTCCTTTTTGTCTTCCTTCCATTTTTCTTTTTTCTCGCATAAATATCGTTAACGAATATTTTTAATAACTCATGTCAGAAAGTAGCATTGAAAACATGTGTTTCAAATACTTGGATTAATTATTTTTTTAATCCAATTCAATTACAATACAAAAAATGTATAAGATTTTTTCAAATCATGTCTAATTTTACGTTTATAAAAATATATATCAATATATGTCCCTCGCTATATCTATACAAATCGGAATGAACATTAGCACGAGCGCAACATACAAGTAGCATAAGTAGTGCGTGACAGAGTATTGATATCTGTTCTGTTTAATGAACGCATCAAAAAACGTTATCAGAAATTACGAGATCACTGTACTATTTAAAAATACTTTTAATAATTTTTTTCATAATTTCAGGCATTTATATCTTTCTATCAAAAGTAATTATTTAATCTTGTTTCTATCATAAGTCTTTTTTGTTGTAATAATATACTAATAATACTACTAATTCGCAATACGATGTTTAATTTTGCAAACATGATAATTAAGTTAAATAAAAGTTAAATAAAAAAGTTAAAAAAAAAAAAAGAAAATGAAAATGTAAAATCTAAACGTGATTGAAAAAAAATTCATTAAAAGCAATCACAGAAATTGCAACTTCTTTCCATCTATTAGCCACGAGCATTTATATATATGTTTTGTCCAAGTATATATCTGTTCCTCGTGTAGTTGGTGAGAGAATGATTTTGATAGGATGCGACAGTGTGGCGCCAAGCTCTCGCAGCAAGCCTGTTTCCTTTACTCTTTCGTTGTGCAGACGATGCGATTATACAGGCTGTTTAACAAATAACCAACCAATCAATTGTTTCGTTTAATTAAAATTAACAAAAAAAAAAAAAATGCCAAATTAATCGATTAAAATTCATAATAATTTATCCGTTCTCATCGATTTCAATAATTTTAAGTTCTTCAGAATGATATTAAAGACTTTTCAATATAACAGTTCACCTTTAATATTCTTGATTAATATTAATTAGTGTTCGCATAGAAAAAATGTTTCTAATATTGCATAATTTTAAAATTTCATATATATTTAAGATAGATAATAAATGAATCTTTGAAATTTGAATTTGAATCTAAACTTTAAGAAAATTATTATGCATGAAAAAAAAAACAAATTAAGAATTGAACTTGATTTTTTTGAAAAGAAGAAAGATCGATTGTTCATATTTGTTTTTAAAACGAATGCCATTTTTTATAAATTTCATTTTTTTTTAAATAAATTAATTTTAATATGTTAATAAAGAAAAACTATCTTAAGTAAACAGATTTTGAAAATGACTTAAAAAAAATAAAATATGTACACTCTCATAGGTTTTAATAGAACTTTTTCATTTTGTTAAATTATTTATATTCATTACATAAATAATGAAAAAAATAACAATTATTTTATTATAAAAAATTCTCTTTGTCATGAATTTTAAATAAAATCAATTATTTAAATTAAATATAATTCAATTTGATCTAATTATATATTACCTTATTTTTTAATGCTTTGTGAAGAAATAAGATGAATAAATTTAAAATATCCCTAAGTTGTAAATATGATTCTTAATCTAAATCTAATTTTAAAAATGTAAATCTATATAAAAGTTTTCTCAAAAATTGAATACTTGAAAATTATTTTTTATTATTAGATAATTTTTACTAGTATGCATCAAATAACTTTTATTTTGAATGCAATATTCACTAATAAGAAATTGTTGAAAGCAATCTTCAAGAGTTTTATTTTCAAATGTATCCCTATTCTAAATTAAATCTTTAAATCAAATTTAAAAGTTAATAACAAACTTAATAACAAATAAATCCTTAAATCCAATCCTTAAAAATAGTATTGAAAATATTTTTGCATATTTTCAAAGACTAAGGTCAATTATAAATACAAAACATGTTATATATAGAAAAAAATTGTTTCTGATAAATTCTTTCAATATTAGTAAAATTGATTATAAATAATTATTAAATTCATTTTTGAAAAAATTGCAAATTTTTTACTTTTATCTTCTAATAAATAAAATGTAAAAATTAATGTTCTTACATATATATGTCTTGAAATTAATCAAATAAAAAATTTCATATTGCCGAAATTATTTCATATTCAAAAAAAACATTAAATATTAATACAATGACAAAATTTTCCTATTTTTACTTTCTTTTTTTAATTTTTATCAAAGTTAAGATTTAATGTTCATAATGTTCATTTTCTTTTTTATTATCGTTATTAATTATAATTTATTAGTCAAAATAATAGTAAGTACAATGTTTCTATTTAGTTTGATAAATATTAATTTTTATTCCATAAATATTTTACATAAAAGTATCAGTATATTATTTATCTTGAATATGCTTTTTAGTAGATAAAATTCTTTAAAAAAAATAATAAATGAATTTATACATTTTCGGAATTAGTAGAAATTATTGCATATTTCTTTTAGCAAGAAATATATATTTTTCGAAATCTCTTGGATATAAAAGACCTTGACTTATAAAAGAATTATATGATAAATAGATAGATTATAACTTATCTATAATAAATATTTAAAATTAATTAATTTTAGATTTTGACATCAAAAGACTTTTATAAAATATATTTTCACGAATTTAGAGAAATCCAAAAAACAATTTTTTGATAGGATAATAGAATAATAATTATAGAAAAATAATATTATTTATAGAACTGCAAATTTTATAATTAAAAAACTCTCAATTAATTAATTTAATTTTTTAATTTTTTCATAATTTATCAATAAAATAATCATATAGAAAATGAAAAAAAATAATAAAAATG